AACAATTAAGAAACTGCCCACTTATAACAATTAAGAAACTGTCCACTTATAACTATTCAAAAACTGTCCATGAATTGTAAATAGTTTTGTCTTTGAGATACTATCACGTGCAAATGCACATACATGTTTACTAGTACTATTAAAAGTACTAATGAGGGTGTGGACTTTCTTTTTTACTAAACTACCCCCATTTTTAGTTTAGTTCCCCTTTAATTCTAATGGCTAATAATGTAATATCCTTTACAACACCTTATTTAATTCTCTCTCGTTAAGATTTATATTTAAGGAATTAATTCACATTCTCTCACATTAAATTTTGTATTTAAGGTATTTTTTATTTAATAAATTCTAATAATTAGATCTTTATAAAATACTTTTTAACAATATAAAACCCATGTTTTTTAGAGGGGAAAATATTAAAACCTCCCTTTGAAGTTTCTAACCATTATTGAAACTTCCCCTAAAGTTTCATAATTGCAATCACTTCCCCTGAACTTTTTAACACAGTTGCAAGTAGACCCCTTCTCTTATAATCCTCTAACAAGAAGCATGAAAATGTTCAAGATAACCATGTAGTTACTTTGACTAAAATGTTTATTTTCCAAATTTTCCCTTCATATCAGTCACTACCCCGAACCCTTCCAACCTCCTTTTAGAAATTAATTTATTTTATAAATTTTCCCTTCATATGAATCCCCCAAAGGTAAAGTTGCAATTTTAAACTTTCCTTTTTTGTCATTCAAAAGTTTAGATTATATTATGCAAAAAACCACCCTCAATGGTAATTGTATGGTTTTTTTGGACATTTGTGGTTCTCTTGGCTCTTGTTAGAGGATTTTGAGAGAGGGGGTCTACTTGTAACTGTATTTGAAAGTTCAAGGGAGGTGATTGCAATTACCAAACTTTAGGGGAGATTTTAGTGACGGTAAAATACTTTAAGATAGGTTTCAGCGATTTATCCTTTTCTAAAATTAACCAAAAAAATGAAACCATTCTTCCATCCAAGTGGTAGATAAGTCAATTCAACCATTTGATGTCAATTGAGTGAATCCATGTGGGCCATTTCTCTAATATTTTATATTAATTAATCATAACAAACAAAAATAAGTGTTCTAAAAAAGAATTGTTTATACTGATAATGAAAACGAAACACGAATTGTGAAACCAACCAAAAAATGAAATTGATTTCTTATTGGGTCCAAATCAATAGTTCAACTTTTAGTTCAAATGTGTCAATATTTGATATCATAATTAAACAGTAAAAAATCAATAAATAATGTCAATATTTGGGTGCATCTCTAATATTGTATATTCATCATATTAAACAAAAACAAGTGTCATAAATAAGAATTATTTTTACACACATGGAAATATAACAAATGTAAAAAATATAATTTGAATTTAGTCCCTTTTTAATTGTGAGGGCAAAAAAATGTAATTTGAACTATTATTTTTCACCTCATTCAAATCCCTCTTATTAAGTCATACATTTGAGGTGCCAATTCCTATCTCAATAAATGATATATTTAAGATATTTTCTCTCCAATAAATTCTATTATTAGATCTATATCCAATAGTTTTAACAATAAATCTCATTTGTTTTTTTTCAAAATTGAACCAAAAGAATGAAATTGTCCTTTTGTCTAGGTGGTGGATAAGCAATTCAACCATCTAGGTCAAATGGGTTAAGCCATGTTGTCACAATTAAATAATAAAAATTAAAAAATGAAATAAAAAAAATACATAATATTTGTTGAAAACATTTGGGATATCTCTAATATAGAATTATTTTATATACATAGAAATATATACAAAATTTAAAATGATTTGGATATATATTACTATCTTCATCATCTAAAATTGCCACGTGCAAGGCATTGTGCAAATTTACTAGTATAGTAAAAAGCACAAATAGCCTCAAGAATATTTCTGGAACTTTATGAGGACAGAATTTACCCCATAGTATTTAAATTTATTGATAAAAATAAGGGAAAATAGGGTAATCGGTTATATATATCAAGGTTGTGTCTTGTTGTAGTGCAAATACATTTGCATTGATGCAAAACTATGGTAGTGCAAATGATTTGGTTGCAAGTTTTGATTTATTTTTTGTTTCAAATTTTACCTTATGTTTTTTGGTTGCATTAAAAATGAAGTAAAATAAGACCAAAAGCGGAATAAAGTAAAATTCAAAACAAAACTAAACCAACATTTGCTTTTTTTTTTTTTCATTTGCACTCTCGTACATTTGTACTAGTGTAAATAAAATTGCACTACAACCAAACACAACATAAATGATTTATAAAGAGGTAGTTTTAAGATATTTAATGCATTTAATTCTCTCTTATTAAATCCAACATTTAATGTATTAATTTGCATTCACTTTCATGAGTCATATATTTAAGTCATTTTTGTTTCTTCTCATCATTTAATTCCATTAATTAAACACATACATAATAAATTAATAATTCCAATAACATAAAAACTTATACTTTAAAATCTACTTGGAAAAAACATTGTTTTCATCTAGGTGGTAGTAAGAAATTAAACCATTTTGGGTCAAATGGGTCATTCCATGTTGCCATAATTAAATAATAAAATTGAAAAATAGATAAAATGCAAAAAATATAGAAATTAAAGAAATTGGGAACATTTTTAATATTTATTCAACATATTAAACAATAATAAGTATGATAAAAAAGAAATATTTTTATTAATGATGGAAATGGAATGTAAAATTTAAAACCAATTGGAAATAAATCATATCTAATGCATATTCTCTCATTAAATCTCATACCTAATGCATACTCTCTCGTTAAATCCTATATTTAAGATATACTTTTCAAATTATTAAATTCTACTAACTAAATCCATAACATTAATTTAATAGTATAAAAATGAATATTTTGAAAATAAATTTGAAAATATAACCATTTTCTTCCCTCCCCGATGGTGGGTAAGCAATTCAATCATTTAGGTTCAAATGGGTTAACGAATGATGCCATAATTAAATAATAAAAACTAAAATATATAAAATATATAATACCAAAAAAAATAATTGGACATATCTCTAACATTGTATATTCGTTATACTAAACAAAAATAAGTGTAAAATTTAAGAAGTATGTTTATTAATGATGAAAATGGAATGCCAAATTTAAAATCAACATAGAAATGAAATGATGTTATAGTCAAATAATAAAATTTTTAAAAATAGAAAATATAAAGAATCAAAAAAATAAAAAATAGAGAAATTTTGGGAACATATATAATGTTTTATATTTATAAAAAAACTAATAAAATATTGTATACATTTTTGATGTTATACATTCATTATATTAAACAAAAATAAGTATTATACATAAGAAATAATTTTATCAATGATGAAAATGTAATACATAATTTAATGTCAACATAGAAATCAAACTATTTTTCTTTTTAGATGGTGGGTTAGTGGTTTGGGTCAATAGATTAATCAATGATATGGTAGTTAAATACTAAACCTTTAAAAAATAAAAAGGTACAAGTAATTAAAAGAATATATAAAAGATTATATATTAATTATGTCAAACAAAAATTAAGTGTGATAAGTAAAAATTATTTATATTATGTAGATGAAATATATAATTTAAAATTGATCCAAAAGCAAAGATATTTTCTTATTTAGATGATGGGTCAATAATCAATCTTTTCAAAGAAACTCATGATGTCATAATTGAATAATAAATATTTAAAAAAAGATAGAAAACAAAAAATGAAAAGTACAAAATTTTGTTGAAAACATTTCTAATGTTCTATATTCATTATATTAAATAAGAATAATTGTTAAAATAAAAATTATTTTTATTTATGGCAGAAATAGAATACAAATTTTAATAATAATACTAATAATAATAATAATAATAATAATAATAATAATAATTGTTGTTGTTGCAATTTAAAATTTCTACGTGCAATTGACCTGACATTTATTACAAGCATTTAAGTTTATTTTTAATCATATTGTTACTTTTGTTAATTTTCAATTTATATTTTAACTATGATATATCTAAAATTCAAGTAATTAATATGAAGAAAAATTTCTTACTACTTAAGTACTAGTCTTTTTAATGAGCTTTTGTGAGTACCAAATCTTCTCCTCAAAGAGTGCACCTCACAGTCTCATCCCATCGTGCATTAAGAATATCTCCTGTCTTTTGTGTTATTATTTATGGGGAGATGTTCCCAATACACAGTAGGATGGGGCTGTGTGGTCTGTGTGAGGTGCGTTCTATTAGGAGCAGATCCCAATTCACTTGATGCAGAAAAGCTCATTTTACAACTTTTTCATCAAACTAGGGGTGCAAGTTAGGCAGGTTGGGTTGGGTTTATGGTCAATCCAAACCCAACCTTAAGATTTAGGTCTAAGGTTTGAGCCCAAACCAAGGCCGAGATCAAGCTTGATCTTACTAACCCGAGCCCAGCCCGCATTGTATTTGATGCACTCGGGTTGGGCTCCGGCTCAGGCTAGACTCCGGTTGGTCAATGACCAGCTCTATAATTATACATGTACACATGCATTTATGCAAGTATGTAGACATATATGTATGTATATTTGTAAATATGTATACAGATATATATGTATATATGTAAATACATATTTATATATGTATCTATGAATATGTATAACCGGGCCCAAACCCAGCCAACCCGTGTAAAAATTGGGATGAATCGGTTTGGGCTCAGGTTGGGCTTGCCCAATTTGTGCCCCTACATCAAACCATTTTTTGGCTTGGAATCCCCAATATGAAAAGCATAAAAAAAAAATCATTAAAAAAAGCACTTCCAAACATGGCCTAAATAGTTTGAATAGGTGAGGATCGATGGAAACACTCTGGGCCCAGGCCCGGCCCAATAAGTACGTAGGCAAAAAGCATTTCTAGGCCAAAGAACCCATGAACCTCTGGTGTGATGATTGTGATGTGTGAAGTCTGAGCATATATATATAGTTATATACGTACCAACCGTAGCCATGGTAACAATGGCGAAGTAGAGGGAAGTTATGTAGCGCCTCCAGAAGTCGATTTCTCTGAAGTTGATATATTTGTAATCTCCCATGCTTAGGCTTCCAATCCATGTAGAGCCCTCCTTTGCAGGAGGCAATGTGGTTGCCAGGTAGTAGAAGATGCAAGCTGCTGTGTGAGTGCAGTACAGTTCCACTGTGATGAGCTTCACTATCCTTGTGAATAGATAGTTGATGCGGATATCCTTCTCCATCTTCTGAAAGAATTCTTCCACTTTCCGTGCTCGATACAGTCGGATCCAAATCAGGCACCGTACAGCTTCTCTTCTTCCTGTGACCTATCACATATTTGCATCGATTAACACAGTGCATTTGTCATGTGTGTATGTATGTTGTTTAATTTGGACAATCTCATTCTACGGGCTTAATTTGTTTGCAGTGCAAATTTTATTTCTGTTGCTGTGCTGCGTTTGGAAACGATGCAAATGGAGAATAAATCCGGGTTTTTAGGTAAATTGTACTTTGGTTCACTTTTGTCTGTGTTTGTGAACATTACATTTATGCATTGATAAATGATAGACCAATGCATATTTATATTGATAAAAAAGAAGTAAATTTGCATTCAAGTGGGTTTTGATAAAAAAAAAAACATATGCTTTATTGGAATTTTTGTTTGCATCCATTACAGTTAAAAGTCTATTTGGTAAGAAGGTAAATTAATTTATCAGTGCAAAACTAATCCAATTTTACAATTTATATGAATTGTTTTACACTCTACATATTTGCATCATTTCCAAATGCAGCCTGTGTAAATGTTTGAGAGTGCAAATTTTGGCTTTTGGCAGCCTTATTTTGTTTGTTTGTTTGTAAGAGGGAAAATGGTTTGATCCGATCCCACCTCTTATATGTATCCAGTTGCACATTGAGAATATCTCTCATACTTTAAATTCATGAGATTATGGCTCATTTGTTTGTGAGCGAGGTAGGAAGCAAGGTGATGTGATTCCTGCTTTATATGAGAGATTGTCTAATTGAGGTAGGAGGAAAATGGTACAAGATTTGCATCAGATTTTAGGATGTAAAATTTGCACTGCCAACGAATACATATAATCACTTGCAAATTTTGTATCAGGTAGAAAGTGCAAATCTTATTAACAAACAAATGAAAGCAAAAGCTGAACCAAGTGCACTGCAAACAAACACAGCCGTGAGTATGAACACTTCCTTTTAATCTCCTCACCTTGTAGATGGCATCCCAAGGAATACAGCCAAGAAGATCTAATGCAAAGCTTCTCTTTGCATAGCTGCATACATCAAAGAAAATAAAGAACAAAAATTCAATATGTTCTTCAAGTAGTTTGCTGCTTATCATAAAGCAGAAATTCAAGCATGCATGAATGGACTTATTGATTGGAGCTAAAAACGTTGTTAGAGTTGAGGCTTTGGCCATTCCAATTTAACCCAAATCCAATTAGTTAGTGAACATATGTACTTAAGGGTGTTAATGGACCTGTTTTGGATTGAATCCTGTCCGGTCCAAAATCAATTTGGATGGATTGGACGGACCAAAAAGATATAGTGGATTGGGCCAATATAGTCCAAAATATTTATTAGATTGGATTGGACCTGGTCCATTCATAAAAATTTATATTGGATTTAGTTGGATTAAGCAAATATCTGATTCATTGGTATAAGATAAGAATATAGGTGTTAATGGACTGGGTTTGGATTGAAACCAATCTAAATTAAAATGAATTTGAACAAATTAGACGATTCGAATATTGAATTGGACCGATCCAATATGATTCAAATTATTCATTGGATTGGATTGGACCTGATCCATTAGTAATGGATTCACATTAGACTGGATCAGATTGGACCAAATCCAATCCAATTGACACCCCTAAATTGTACCAATATAGGTCGTCATCATCATCATCATCATCCTCATCTAAGTCTTATATCTCAACCATATAAAATTGGCTATATGAATCCTATTTGGCCATTCTGTTATATTCAAAGTCATATCCATTATTAAATTAAGAGAATTTACATCATATCGTTTCGTACTACTTTAACCCAATAAAAGTGATATAATAAGAAGCTTACCGTATGGCAATGCTTTTCCTGTCATATACCATTTTGTATGTGTGACGGTCTCTGTATGCGACGAAGAATTGAATGATCACATCTACAAAGAAGATTATTTGTATGCTCTCCAAGTTCATCAGATGATTTGGCAATCCTCTGAAGAACCCAAACTCCACTGGCGTAAAGAAAGATGAATACATGGACCAAAAGCATATGATGTTTGCCCAATATCTATAGAATCTACAAGTTGATAAAAGTTTGTAAGGTCAGTTTTGACTCTAAATACAACATTTCTCAAATTTATATAAGTTTTGTTTTGAAACAAAGTGGGGTTGGGCACTAGTCTCCACAAAACGAGGGAAGTTATATTTATTTGCATATATTATTTCTTTTTTTTTGTTTAATTCTTGAAGTTTCAGTAACTTATGAATGCACACATGGATATGATGAATTCAAATTAGCCCCCCACAAGATAGTTTCCCACAACGTCCCACGGTATATTCCCACCGTGTACTAGAAATATCTCCTGATGAAAAGTATCAGAAATAATGAGACATTATCAGTAGATGTTCCCAATACATGACGGAAATGTGCTATGGGATATTATGCGAAACTATCTTGTGGGGGGCTGATTTCAACTCGGATATAATAATATCTTGTTCAAAATGTTTTTTCTCCTTGTATAAGTGGGTCTTGTTCAAATGTTTTTTGGCTGGTTGTAGGCCAAGATTTGATATCAAATCCCTTCTCCCCCTTTCTCCTCCCCCCCCCCTCTCTCTCTCTCTTCTTCCTCTTCTCTTTTCTTGCTTCTCTTTTAATTTGTTTGTTCCTTCAACCTGCAACTCGCCACCATCATTGAACTGCATTCAGCCCCCTATATATTTTAATCTGCCCCTCTCTCTATGCTATCCATCCACTGGCTCCCTATCTTAATTTGAAAATTGTTGCAATTGCAGTTGTAGGAAGTCAAAAACATAGCAACAAATATTGTTTTAAAACAATCTAGTATTTTCAAAGGGTAAAATAGGATTTTTTAGAATATTAAAATAAGTTCATGAAATAGGAGAAGAAATGAGGGTATGTTTAAATCCAATAGGAACATCTCACAATGTATATTTAAGTCTATATACAAAACTCAGGGTATGTTTAAGTTAATATTTATAAAAAGTCAAGATATGTTTAAGTTTTTTACCTTAATGCATTAATTTATTCTTTGTTCATATTAATTTATAATTGTTTCATGGTTATAAGTGTTCTGGATGTTTAGTTTAGGGTAATTTATTATCATAATCAGTATGTCTTACTGAAATTTTAGGAAATTGAAAGGTTTAATTTTATATATGTATTCAAATACATCTCTTAAAATTGTCTTTGATATTCTTTGCAATACCGAAATAACATCAGATGTAGTACAAGTGAAATCATGCAATGAAAAAAGAATCTCCACTATATTCAATAAAGTAATCAATTATCTCTCTCTCTAGAAAGAACTCACCTTCCATTAGGATCAATTACAAAGGCACCATAACAGTCTTTTGGAATGCTGGTAGGATCGACAGTCTCCCACTTGGTCTTCCCAAGCCAAAACTCCCTAGAAATAAAATCCAACCTGTTTCCAACAGAGCCATCGGTGTTGTCATCCACGTTGTTAAGAACAAATTCTTCTTGGATCTCTCCTGCAGCCATGTTTTCTCTGCTATTTTTCTGTTTCTCAGACTCTCACTACAACCAACTGTACCTGTATTTTTAGCAAATGGATTGAGAGAGAGAGAGAGAAAAGAGGGGGGGGGGATGATCTATCAATTTTATTTTTTATTAGCACCTGATGTAAAGTTAACACAAAATTGACAATTGGGAATGCATCATGGCCACTAGCATGTGAAACAAGGGTTGAAGGGCCATGTGGGTTTGCTTAGTTTTGTCATCACCTGTGTGTCATTATGTGTAGATTGTCTCAACTTTATTAAATGGCTTGGATTAATTTTGTTTCTTAAGAAATAAAATCATATTTTTCTTCAAGATATAAAAAGCATTACAAGCTTATACTTGATTTTATTTTTACTTTTTTTTGTGGACTCTGCTTTGTAAATTGAACTAGGCCTAAATTAAAATAGATGATTTCTTTTACTTTATGGATAATGTGTGGAGAATTGCGAATCATAAAAAATAAAATTGAGCTTCCTCCTAGTTATTGGAGGCCAGAGGGGAGGAGCCAAGTTTGGTGGGGTCATTTGCCCCCCTCCCATAACTTTTTTTTTTTTGAATAAGAGAGAAAGAGATATTAGTAAAAGAGAAAAAAAAAAGGTTGGGCTAATGCTCCCCCTCTCCTCATCCAAACTTTTCATAAAAAATATTAATGGGTTGAGACAGAGTCACGCTAATACTTGATGTCAACCTTGACCCGACTCAATTTGTTGAATTAACCAAATTCATTATTTTATTGATCAATCCAATTTATTTTGATTGGTTTTCAGGTTGGGGTTGAATTGGAATAACCTAATTAATTTAATTTGTAGGGCCGGATTGAACAATATCTCAATCTTAACCCAACCTGAAATTAAATAGCCTTTGACTCCAAAATTTTGATATCCGATTTGAGTAAAAAACTTCAATTTTATCTCAACCCGAAGTTATATAGGGTTCATATTTTTCAACTAGGATTGGCAATGGACTTGAAAATTTTGATACCTTGATTTGACTCCGAATTTGACTATCCTAAAAATTTATTTGTCAGAACATGCATTTGATTAATAAGCATTTTAGATGCAAATTAATCCCATGTAATACACATGTAGTAAAATTATGTATATGTATATAGCTATAGATATTATATATAATTATATAAAGTTCATAATGGATAAATTTAATATTTTATATTTATATACATTTATTGTTCACTAGTAATTAAATACATACGTTGCCTGTGAGAAATTTTTCCGCATATTGATTACTTGAATTTTTTATTTATCCTAGTTAAGATAGAAATTAAAAATTAACAAAAGAAACAATATGATTAAAATTAAACTTAAATGCTTGTAGTCAATGTGCACATGCATTGCACAAGGAAATTTTAAATTACAATGACAATTATTTTATTATTATTATTATTATTATTATTATATCACTTCTAATCATATTTATTATTGTTTAATATGTTGAATATATCATGTTAAAAATGTTCTCAATTTTTTTTATTTATATCTATTTTGCATTTTATCTATTTATGAATTTTATTATTTAATTGTAGCAACATGGCTTGACCCATTTGATCTAAAATGGTTTAATTTCTTATCACCACTTAGATGAAGATACTATTTTTTCCAAGTAGATTTTGGAAGTATAAGTTTTTATATTATTGGAATTATTGATTTATTATGTATGGATTTAATTAATAAAATTTAATGATGAGAAGAAACATAAATGCCTCGAATATAGGATAGGTGAATGCAAGTTAATACATTAAATCTTGGATTTAATGAGAGGGAATTGAATGCACTAAATATCTTAAAATTACCTCTTTTCAACTCATTTAATGCCAATAACCAGTTACCCTATTTGCCCTAATTTTTATCAATAAATTTAAATATGGATGGGTAAATTTTGTCCTCAAAAAATTCTAGAAATATTCTTGAGGCTAGAAGTATAAGTTTTTATGTTATTGAAATTATTAATTTATTATGTATGGATTTAACTAATAGATTTTAATGATGAGAAGAAACAAAAATGCATCAAATATATGATTAATGAAGGTGAATTCAAGTTAATACCTTAAATCTTGGATTTAATGAGAGGGAATTGAGTGCACTAAATATCTTAAAATTACCTCTTTTCAACTCATTTAATTCCAATAACCAGTTACCCTATTTGCCATCATTTTTACCAATAAATTTAAATATGGAGGGATAACTTTTATCCTCAAAAAATTCCAGAAATATTCTTGAAACTATTTATGTTTTTTTAAAGTAGTATAGATATATAATTTAAAAATAATTATTTTTAATTTTTTAGTCATTTTAAACAAAATAAGATGGTTTTGAATTAAATCTGAATCTGATCTGAAATTTGATATGTCAGATTCACATAAAATACGAATCTAGATATTTGATAATAATCAGATTCAAATGTGGATGTCGATGTAATGGGATACCCAAACCTTAAGATAAACTTCACATTGAACATTTTGACTTAAGATTTGTGATCGACAATACTTCCGCATAGTCACACTATAGAAAATTTTGCCAGGTCTCCATTCTCCATTCTCCCTCATCTCTTGACTCCCCAAGATAATTTTTTTGTCTCCACCATTAGAGATCCGACACACATCTTCATAAAAAAGTTCCTAATAGCTATTACTTAAAGTTTCCATAGAAAGAAAAGTGTAATAGATCATCTGGAAAATTTTTGAAGTTTGCAAGGATCCAATAAAAAAGACTGGCCTCCAAGGTATGTATTCGGATGATCCCTTGTTCCTTAGCAAGGATACTTATCAACGACATAGAGACGTTGCGTACCCCACTCTTGTTCAGCATAGTTGTCAAGACGACTAGGTGACCATGGGGCGACTAGGCACCTTGGCGATAGAAGCTGACCTAAACTATTTTAGAAGTTTAGGAACTAGGAAGGGAGTAGGTTAGACTATTAAAAATAATAAGTGCAGAAAGAAGGAGGAGGAGGAGAATAGGGGCGGAGCCCCAATTTTTTTGAAAAAAAAAAGCATTGAATCTGGGCTGGAAGAAGAAGAAGGAATATAGGGGTGGAGACCATGTTTTCTGGAAGAAAAAAAAAACTGAAGCTGGGCTGGAAGAGAAGAAGCCCCTATTTTATTGAAACAAAAGAGCACTAAAGCTGAATTTAGGCACCTGCCTAAGTCTTTGGACGGTCACCTAGTATACAAAACTATAGGCGTATGAGCGAGGCGACACTGTAAAACTGCCTAATCGCCTAGGTGTTGCCTTGACAACTATATTGTTCAGGGTTTTTCCTTGCAGGTATGTTCATTGACTCCGGTGCGTGACATATTAGTTTGCTAATGTGGTTGAGGACGTTGGGTGACCCCAGGACACAACAACAACCACGTGGCAGCTTGACCAGCTAGGGTCCGACCCTAACAAAAACCAACTATTGACAAGACTTGAATGGATATGCATATATTTGGAACCCGAATTTCCTACACTCGCTTTGGTGTGCAACGTGGTGCACTTTTAATCAGATTCAACCATGTCACCTTTCACATGGTCCCCTGTTTTACATGTGCGGATTCAAGTAAACAAAAAATTTGTGGCGTTTTATCTATAAAATTCACTTTTTGAAACTTAAAATAATGAAAAAAATTGGCTATCTAATTCAATAGATGGTAAACTAATCCCTTGGCTCATAGTTCCCGAGAGTCCCCAGCTTTTCCTCAACAACAACTGTTTTCCATGATCAAAGAAGAGCAAAGAAGCAAGACCAAGGATGAAATCATTGCAATCTTTACGATTTGTAAGGATTAAACTTTGAATTACCAATTAAATAGTATGGTAAACAAGAAAATAATTGAGAAATATGTGAATTATAAAGCAAATAATAAGAGCAAAAGAAAAGTAAAGATGGCATCAGATTTACGTGGTTCGGTCAAAGAGACTTACATCCACGGGAGAGGAAAGAAAACTTGTTTATTCATATCCTTGATGAGAGTATTACAAGCTGGCCACCTTACTAGTGCCGAAATGCCTTTAACAAAGCCTTGAAACACTCAATAGTATAGATGACTGTTTTGATCTGATGTGAAAAATCCTTAATGGCAACAATGAAGAAGAAAACGATACCAAACATAGTAGGAAGCTCCCCTTCAGCTTTCTAATGCTTACTCTCCATCATCATCCTACTCCCTAGAAACTCCCCTTTTATAGAAGAAAATAGGGAACATGGTCCCTAAAATTCTGGCGAAAAAATGGAGGGGCAGAATTAGAGGAATCAAAATAAATGGAACAGTTTTAGTAAAGTAATTGTGATTGTTGAGTCTCAGCAGTCATACCAAAAGACAACATTTATTGCGACTGTTGAATTCCCTAGCCACACCAAACGTCAGGATTCAATGTTGATGAAACAGAAGAGGTATTTTTCTCATAATCATTATTACCAGAAAAACTCTAGTCATGAATATACAGCATTAACAAATGATTTGTAGGATTACTATTCTTCAGCCAAGGGGGTGGAATTCAATTAAGTTTCTATTCATGAAATTTCTTGGTGTTCAAATACGTTTACAATATAGAACCCAGAAGACATTTTTCTCATAACCATTATTACCAGGAAAAAGGCGCCTGAAATTTTATAAGTCCAACTCATTTAAGGAATCATATAGAATCTAATTCACATGAGCACATGTGTGGTTTAGATGTGGTTTCCATCTACCTGTTCTAGTTCATTGCTTAACTCGGTGCAAAGTGCATCTTGATGTTGTAGAAAACTCTTGTTGTAGCTTCACTTGTAAAAGATTGAAAATGGATTCCACCCTTGATTGAAACTTGAAGAAGAAAAAGAAGCCACACTGAAGAATTGTGCCATTTCTACGACGGTGCTAGGAATTGACGTTGGTGCCAAGAACATATTTGAACGAACCAATGACAATGCCAAGAACTGATCAAGTTCTGGCGATGGCTGAAACTACCATTACTATGACTTCTTGTATATTCTTTAATTTTTTTTTAAATTTTATGTAGCTGATGAAAATTTTCTGTATATTCTAAAATCCATCTTGGATAGTTGCTACAACCTTCTT